CAGAGAGATACAGCCCCAATTTTGTCCAAAGAGAGATACAGTCCCACCACTGTCTTAAAGCTCAGTCGGCGTTCAGATTCCCCTGACGTGCATCATGGCGGGAGAGGTGAGGCTGTTTAGACAATGATCGAATGTTGGAGTGTAATATCTCGTGCACGAGGAAATAGGCTGTCGCTAATGTATTACATCTTCCCGTGGGTGTAGCAATATGACTAATTGACCCATCTCGTGATCTGTCTGTTGTATGGGCAGACAGGAAGGGTCCGGCACGGTCCGAGGGTTCTGTCCACGTGGGCGTTGTCCCTGAAATATTATCTAATACTTCAGCCATTCAAGTAATTTACCTTTGACAGTTTAGATGAATATTTAAAGTGATAATGAATTAGTAGTTATATATCTCTGACATGCTTGACAATGGGTTCCGTCATAACCATATCATTCCTGATATTCTTGAGAGGCATTTAGAAGTTGATGAACATATAAGACGAGTTTATGGATGACCCCTCCCCATATCCCGAAGAAGGGGCAAGAAGTAGCCCAGAAACGTCGTGTTATACAATAAAGAAGTTGTCATCCATATACTCGTCTTATATACTCATGCCAATAATGGTTCTCATACCCCCTACCCACCCCACCCCACACACACCTCACACCCCAACCCACACCCCTCTCAATTAAAAACATTTAAGGGGGTGACAAACCATTATTGGCATGAGTATACATGTCATTCCTATTCAATTTCACAGTTATGGAACCATACAATCAAATCCCGATGAGTCGAATGCCGGTGTCTCGAATATTATGCATAAATCGAAGTACCTGTCGGTCCCGACCATTCCCTGTTTAGTTGTCATCATTTGAATACCGGTTACACGAATTCGTCTCATAAATACACACGATGACTCGAGAAGGAAATTTGTTTTGTTTTTGACAGAGCACTGTGATGAAACAGCCTTAAATGAAGCAAGTCTGATTTTTTTCCTTTATTCCATCTCATCCCACACCTTCACAAGTTACTTGGAGCTATTTGTTTGTATCAAAATTATATATTTTCTCAGTAAGATTTATAGGTCTAGTCTGATTCACCCCTTATGTCCACCAGTAGTGATAATGCCGGGATATATTGTTCATTTACAGGCGAAAACCCAACTCACTGACACACAAATCATATGGAACCATCTCTCTATTTGATTATAAGACTCAAGGTTTGCTAAGCATCAAATTTGGATGGCTGAAAGAATCACCAGAACAGAATAGATTGAAATATGCCGGTACACAATGATTGGGTAACCCCTATATATATGTTCTCGATTTCATCGTGAGTGAGTGAAGCAATATCACGGAGGGGAACACCAGAAATGGGCATCACACATTGATTATGGGGAATCAAACTCGGGTTTCGCTCTGACGAGCGAGCGCTTTAACCACGAGCCTACTCCACCGCCCCAGTTTCATAATGAACGGACAGAGGTATGCAGTCATGGGCACGATGTATCTTGATAGAATCAATGCACATAATTATCAGAGAGCACTGGTATTGGGAACTGAAAAGTGGTGGTCGTCGACAGCATTTCCCTATAAAGTGGGAATACGTTAATTGTTTTTGATATGACTGTCTCCACACTCAGAAATGACCTGCGGAACGTCTCCATGGGGGTGTTCTCGGGTCCCGAATAGCCTGTATCCCACTGACCCAACGTCAGAGGTTGGATCAGATTGATCCTCAAACAGAGTCATGGGTTGCAGATTGCAGGATTCCAACATATATATCCGAGCTCAATTGTAATTTTGGAGAAGAGATGACATTCCAGACGTGTATGTCAGACCGTACGCTTGTGAAATCGAACAGGACGATAACACACGACGCCTCGTCATGTCAGGGTCGTTTATGCGTACTTAATATTATCCCAGTTGTTGGGTCATGAGTCCTCAACCCTATCGGTCACAGGTTGAAGGAGCTTCCCTCTCACGACGCCCTGTTCTTCCAGCAACTGTACAAGAACTCGGCAATGCTCTTACTGAGGAGTGGAACAAGCTCACCATGGCTAGCATCCAGACACTTACTATCAGCCTGAGTTGGCGGTACCAGGACCCGATACATAACATAGATCACACACACGCTCCGGAGCGTGGTGTTTTGGACAATGATATTTTTTTACGTTCCGATTTGGTCAGATACTCCCAGTTTGACAGGTGATCTGACTGACTACATGCCACGTATGTTGGCATAATATGGCACATAACAACGACCGTTTGTTCATTAAACGTGTTCACGTAATGGCATCCCTAGCAATTTCAACAGATGCGCACATATAACCTTTTGAACTGGTGGTACTGACAAACTTTAAATAGTATGTAATAAATCATATTTAACAACAGATAATGTATACCAGATCCACATAATATAGACCGGATAAGGCACAATAGATTGAAATATACACTTCATAAACCATAATGCATTGAGATATAGACAGGATAAATACTAATACACTGAAAATTATACAGCATAAATCATAATAAATAAATCATAAACCCACTCAACTTCTACACTTAGTATACAGTAAGTTACCATAAGTTCAAACTGACGGTTCAGATACGCAAAACTGGGTCTTCGAATTCTTTGCGCAGGCGAAAATGTGTCTTCTGTTTTCCGGTGAATTCATACCAATCATCTTACTGCTCGTAATTACACATAGGTTCAATTTGCCAATCCCAACCAAACAAAACATATTGCTCGCGCTTCATCAAGTGTATTCAACCCGAGGCAAATAGTTTAGGTAAGTTAATCAGTGCCTTAAAATTAGTGTTGATTTGTCCTAGATACTGATGCCGTTCAGTGTTTGTGCTAGACTAGCAACTAGTCTCTGAAATGAACATATTTTACTGAAAAAAAAGTTCATAGTAAAAAAAAATATATATAATGAAAAGGAGCCCTGAGACTTTCTACATTTTCAGAAGCTGAGGAAATCTAGACTTGCCACATTTTCTAGACTTGCGTGGGCTTTCTTGGATATATTTACTTCGGGGTCTGTACGACAGACTATGTTTGTGCTTATGTATACCAGTGCCTAGTATGTGATGTATGAATTGTACAGAGCAGGGCTCTTCCATAATATTCCGGCCATGTTTATTTCGACTACGTCGCGATGTAAAAGCGTAAAACAACATTCACTCACATAACCTGCCTGAGGTGAGGACGGACTGGGGCAGAAAGGTCCTTTAAGGAGAAGTGTCGCGCTATAACGCGGGCCTCAAGGGGTCAGTGTGGTCAAAGGCAGTTGTGTCATATCGCTTGGGGCATATGACCGAAATCGCAAGGCCGTTCACAGCGATGAGATGCTCTTTCATCATGTGTGATAGTGATGTCAGACTTTAGCCTCCAGTCCCTTCTCGCTCACCGCAACACCTTGGAGTTTGACAGGCTGTGTTATAATATCTGCAGTAGACTAAGTAGCGCTAAGTCTCTGAATGTATGTAATTTTGATAGTTACAGATGATCCCATGTAAATTGAAAAGGAGCCCGAGTGAGATCCTGAACATGAGGAAATCTAGACTTGCTTCATTTACGGCTTTAGCATTGCGGGTAGGGCTAGGCAGTAGATAGTCTGTCGTACAGACCCTGAAGTAAATATATCCAAGAAAGCCCACGCAAGTCTAGAAAATGTGGCAAGTCTAGATTTCCTCAGCTGAAAATGAAGAAAGTCTCAGGGCTCCTTTTCATTATATTTTTTTTTTACAATGAACTTTTTTCAGTAAAATATGTTCATTTCAGAGACTAGTTGTTAGTCTAGGCAGTAGAGAACATAATGAGGTTCAGGGACTGTGAGACTGACTATATCTGAAGTTATTTTACCAGCGAGATATGTTAATACATATATGCTTACTGTAACAATGACTCGTAGATACCAATCAATATTACATATTAATTTATTTTTCTGCAAATATTCAAACTTAACATTAGGAGTGAGCGAGTCAGTTAATATTTAACGTTACGTCGGCAATATCTCAGCCATACCGTGACGATTAACATTAGGACAGTCAAATATTAAGAGGTCTACATGAGACTGACTGACTGAGTTTGGTTTTACGCCGCTTTTAGCAATATTCCAGCAACGTCACGGCTGGGGACACCAGAAATGGGCTTCACACGTTGTGCCCATGTGAGGAATCGAACCTGGGTCTTCGGCGTGACGAGCCAACGCTTTAACCACTAGGCTACCTCACTGCCCCTATCAAGGTTTTATTAACAGTAGGGCTGCGCAATATAACCGGTTTACCGGTATTTACCGGTTCAGACATGAAAACGATACGTATTGCGATACGCTGATCGAAAACCGGTATTTTGACTTGCATTCGGAAAACTTCGTAACACTCGGAAATCTTCGGATATTTCGTTGTTTCAATTGTGCCAAATATTATTCACATTTTTATTTTATCATGATTAAAAGAAGTAATTAAAGCTTATAATCAAGCATAGTAAGTTTGTTGTGTTTTTGCTCTATAAATCAAGCAGTAACTCGATTATAAGTAGTGTTTTGTTTAAAAATATTTCATGCAATATATTGCAATACATATCGCAATACATGCTTTCGCATCGCAATATATCGCAATATGAATATTTCCTGCAATACCCACCCCTAATTAACAGGGGAGAGTGTCGAACTATGTTCCACATCATTAGGACAAAAACAAAAACATGAGGTATTGTTTTAGAGAAATGTATTGCGTAATGAATGGTTTATTAGAATCTAATGTTGTTCCGGAGACAGAATAAGGACCTATAATATAGGAGACAGTGCTTTAATCGTTTGTTAGCAATGTTGGTTTCGGGTTACATTTATTTTCAGCATTCTCTATTTCCTGAAAACGTTAACCCGCGGTGTTGCACTGAGACCGATGCGGGAATGTCGTGACGCACGCACCGTGACGGCATTCCTTCCGTGTCGGCGTGGTAACACTCCTTCGTCAACCACCTCAGCGCCGTAGGGGAATTTGTTGCTTGTCATAACTGTCTTTCACGGCAGTCGGTCAGTAGCGCCAGGACGTATCGGATTTACTGTCATCAGTGTTCCCCAATCTGAACGATAACTTAGTAGCCGTCACATAGTTTCAGAACCGGAGATAGCGTGATTGTGAGTGACTATTCCTAGTATTCGTGGGTGTGTATGGTGTATTGTAAAGCCGGTTGTCATCAACCAGTTGGACACGCCCACTTGTCTTTGCTTTTCCGGTCTGAACAAGGGAGAAAACTCGTCCGCGTCATCTCAGCACATTCAAAATGGCGGCTTTTCACTACAATTACGCGATTGTGTCTCGTATCCCCAACAGTTTCAAAGATAAAGCGATAACAAAAGATCATTGCCAGATCGACTTAGAGAAGGCGAGAGCGGAGTACAGGAATCTACTGACTGTGCTGCAGTCATGCGATATAAACCTGATCGAACTTCAGGAAGATGAGAAGTACCCGGACTGTTGTTTTGTCGAGGACACTGCTGTTGTGATCGGGGGAACAGCTCTCATCACTCGCCCAGGCCATCCATCGAGACAAGGAGAGGTGAGTTCTGCACATTTTATTGCTTCCCAGCTTTATTTTCAGTTGCTACATTTGAAGGACAAGTGGGTGGCCGTTTTCACTTTTAAGCGGGTAGGGTTCAACTGTGACTCACCGCTTGAAAGTAGGTCAGGCGCGTCCATAACTAGCTCAAGTAGGAAATGCCTACCTGCTGACGACAGGACAGTTGACATTTGGAGGACGTCCGTCTGCTGGTTTCAATGAGTTTCTAAATTGCACTGATACTTGTATAGGTCGTTTTGTTTATTGAATACATGAATATAATGGATATTAATATGTCATGTTCACCGCGCTCAGACGCAAGCACTGGCCCCAACTGGGTATATTTGGACGTACACTGCTGGCCCCTACTGAGCATGACTGACTGAATGAGGGTCCTTATGCCAAATATGGGGTATACAGTTTCGGGTAAAATAGCGGAAAACAAATGTAAGATTAGTCCAATGTTTATCGTTTAAGATGAATAAAATAAATTCATATAAATGTACATTTTAAACACATACAGTACACGTTATATTTGGGTTTAACTTTCTTACAACTTACAGATTTTAGATAGTATTTTTGTTAGGTTGCATCAGGCACCTAATTGCCAGCATACAAACCCGGCACATTGTGTATTGAATGTACATTTTGTAAATTAAAACTCTTTGTTTATCATAGTAGCGTTAAAGATTATAAACATCATTTACAGCTAGATTTGATGAAACAAGAGAACTATTCAGTCAGTATTTGGTAATTTGAAAAACACAAATTACAGTAATGAAACATTACCAGAACCCACTGGAACCATGTTTTGTAACAGACTGATGATTTTGCATTTTAGATATGGGTTCATGACAGTTTTACTGGGCCTACTGGCTCAATAAAAGGGGGAAAGTTTTGCCTAGCTACTTCTGAGTAAAGCTACTAAAGGTCATAAACTGTAATGACAACTGAATACCACCTTTCATGATCCCTCTGAACAAGTACCGGGACGGTGGGGTAGCCTAGTAGTAAACTTAAAGCGTTGGCTCATCACACCGAAGACCCCAGATAGCATTCAGACGTTGTCCCAACGTTGGCAATGGTTTTACCAACATTGCCAACGTTAGGCCAACATCCGAATGCTATCTGGGACCCGGGTTCGATTCCCCACATGGGTGAAAAGTGTGGATCCCATTTCTGGTGTTCCCTTCCGTGATATGGCTAGAATATTGCTAAAAGCAGAGTAAAACCATGCTCACTCTCTGAGTCACTCACTGAAGGAGTAAATATGCTAAAAAAATATTTGAACTTTGGAATCCATTTCAGCAACTTCTTGTTATGTTAGGCTATCTCAGCCATAAATCGCATGTCACTGAGACAAGTATTCAGTATTTGTGAAAATATGTCACACTCAAGCTCACAACCTTGGGATGTTGATCATACATTCTAAGAATCTAACAAAAAGAGCTACGTCCACGCTGTCAAGTTGAGTGTGAACTGACCTTGTTATGCCTAACACAATATTAGAATGTCCATATTATTTCCTGTGTTTCCCATCTCAAACCTGCCCTGAACTTTGAGTTGGAAGGTAAGTGGTAAAAACATTTCCTCATCTCAGTTTTTACCACTGCTGTAGACATATATGCCCTGACATGATAAAAAAAACCACAAAAAACATTTATCTTTGCACACTCATAACAAACCATGCTAGCTTGATCTTTCTTCATCTTTGCATCTTAATATATTCTGCTCAAAACATTTTAGTTAATTTACTATTACCAAGTGATCTAAATTTTAAAATGTTTAAAAATATGTTTTCAATTTTTAAAAATATTTGATGTATTTTTTAATTAACAATCCACATTCTTACGGTTAAGGTTTGAGATGAGAATACATAAAAATGACGATATCCTTTCACAAGGGAATAGAACAGGGACTGACTGCAAGGGGACTGGCACATACTAAGGTTACCATGGTTACTGTTTGATGATACACTGATTTCAGTCTACAGACACTTATGAATGGTCAAAATACCATTTGCCACTCTCATCCCATTCTATAATCAACAAGATCCCAAGTGATAATTAGTGAGCCCATATGGTACAAACAAATAACTGTTCCTGGTGTCAGAAATTTGGAGTAGTTAGTGAGTGAGTGAGTATGGTTTTTTGCCGCTTTTAGCAATAATCCAGTAATATCACAGCGGGGGACACCAGAAATGGGCTTCACACATTGTACCCATGTTGGTAATTGAACCCGGGTCTTCAGTGTGACGAGCCAACGCTTTAACCACTAGGCTACCCCACCGCACCTTCAGAACTTTGGATCACATGTTCTGAATAGCAGGGTGAGGAATAATACATCATTGTTTATCGAGTGTTTTTGTGACAAATGAGGGAAGTGATGGACATGTTGGCAGGAACACTGTAATGGAAGCATGGATCCTAGTAAGGAACAAGATAGCAATACTGATGCAACAACTCTTGTCAGCTGTGTAATCATATCTGATGTAGCAAATGTAGCAAGTGAACCTGGCATGGGTTAAATGTCTGTAGTATGTCTATTTACTCCAGCTACTAGAGCTAGTATTTTCTACTGCAAACCAGGGGTGAAATAACTTTAAAATTGCTAGTGTACTCCGGTAAAGTGGCACATGTAAAATCACTTGCCCTGATAATTTTTCCACTATACCTGCCGTTTTCTTGTTGATTTTTTAAATAAACAACATAATTAACGTTGGAAAGTCAACTGGACACCGATACAGTGTGATATACAAATTTGCTTGCCCAACAGAAAAAAACACTGGACTCGGACATCGGGCAATGGGTTATTTCCACCCTTGGCAAACCGCTTCATCATGCTCTTGGAAATAATGCACCCTTGTGGTTTTAATGTTCACCTTTCACACTTAATATCAGGTTTAATTCCCCCTTGGGTACATGTTTTCTAATGTGCCCTGCTGTGATATTGCTGGAATATTGCTAAAAGCTTAGTAAAACCCACCTCACTCACTCATGCTCTCCTGCTGTCAGACAGACAAATAAAATTTTGGAAAGACTAAAATGTTTGAGAATGCAACAAATAATTCTTTTGGAATGCTCCAGTGCTTTGGTTCCCGTACCGTAAAATACATGAGCGAGTACAACCCTCTTAGACAACTCACAGCCCATATCATTACAGAGCTGAGTGATTCATAGAGGAAATCGACGGATGTCCTTGTACCAGTGGACAGTAAATAGCGATCACACATTTAGATGAGAGCCAGAATGTGTGCATGTGGTAACTCATCTGTTGAAATGGAACAAAAATGGCTCTGAAATGTGTGTAGATAATGAAGTTGTTATTGATAGTATTTCAGGGAAATGTTGTTTTCACTGTGAGTTCATGTTTTGAGGTTTTGTATTTTCGATCCTTGTTTCAGGTTGGTGAGATCCGCAGAGTTCTGAAAAATGACCTTCACTTCAATGTGATTGAGATGAAAGTGGCTGATGCCAAGCTGGATGGAGGAGATGTCTTGTTTACAGGTGAGCAATAGGACATCATGCTTAATATATTGCAGAGTATGAGTATAGAAACCAGGGAATATTGGCCACAGTAGAGACACAAGGAAATACTGGCTCCGCATTTGACCCCTCGGGCATATGAAACTCGGTAAAGACTCAAAGGTTACAGTAGACTCCTTATACATGGGCATATGAGCCTCGGTAGAGACACAAAGGTTACAGTAGACTCTGTATACCTGGGCATATGATCCTCGGTAGAGACACAAATGTTACAGTAGACTCTGTATACCTGGGCATATGATCCTCGGTAGAGACACAAATGTTACAGTAGACTCTGTATACCTGGGCATATGATCCTCGGTAGAGACACAAAGGTTACAGTTGACTCTGTATACCTGGGCATATGATCCTCGGTAGAGACACAAAGGTTACAGTAGACTCTGTATACCTGGGCATATGATCCTCGGTAGAGACACAAAGGTTACAGTAGACTGTATACCTGGGCATATGATCCTCGGTAGAGACACAAATGTTACAGTAGACTCTGTATACCTGGGCATATGATCCTCGGTAGAGACACAAATGTTACAGTAGACTCTGTATACCTGGGCATATGATGATCCGGTAGAGACACAAAGGTTACAGTAGACTCTGTATACCTGGGCATATGATCCTCGGTAGAGACACAAATGGTTACAGTAGACTCTGTATACCTGGGCATATGATCCTCGGTAGAGACACAAAGGTTACAGTAGACTCTGTATACCTGGGCATATGAAACTCGGTAGAGACTCAAAGGTTACAGTTGACTCTGTATACCTGGGCATATGAAACTCGGTAGAGACACAAAGGTTACAGTAGACTCTGTATACCTGGGCATATGAAACTCGGTAGAGACACAAAGGTTACAGTAGACTCTGTATACCTGGGCATATGATCCTCGGTAGAGACACAAAGGTTACAGTAGACTCTGTATACCTGGGCATATGAAACCCTCGGTAGAGACACAAAGGTTACAGTAGACTCTGTATACCTGGGCATATGATCCTCGGTAGAGACACAAAGGTTACAGTAGACTCTGTATACCTGGGCATATGATCCTCGGTAGAGACACAAAGGTTACAGTAGACTCTGTATACCTGGGCATATGAAACTCGGTAGAGACACAAAGGTTACAGTAGGCTCTGTATACCTGGGCATATGAAACTCGGTAGAGACACAAATGTTACAGTAGACTCTGTATACCTGGGCATATGATCCTCGGTAGAGACACAAAGGTTACAGTAGACTCTGTATACCTGGGCATATGAGCCTCGGTAGAGACACAAAGGTTACAGTAGACTCTGTATACCTGGGCATATGAGAGACACACAAGGTTCGGTAGAGACCCAAAGGGAGACACAAATGTTACAGTAGACTCTGTATACCTGGGCATATGAAACTCGGTAGAGACACGAAGGTTACAGTAGGCTCTGTATACCTGGGCATATGATCCTCGGTAGAGACACAAAGGTTACAGTTGACTGTATACCCTGGTGGGGTAGCGTAGTGGTTAAAGTGTTGGCTCTTCACGCCAAAGACCCGGGTTCGATTCCCCACATGGGCACAATGTTTGAAGCCCATTTCTGGTGTCCCCCGCCGTGAAATTGCTGGAATATTGCTAAAAGCGGCGTAAAACTAAACTCAGTCAGTCAGTATACCTGGGCATATGAGCCTCAGTAGAGACACAGGGGAAATCTAGGCTCCATATACCTGGGTTCTGTTGTACAAAACAGCTTAAGCGTTAAGTCTGTCGTAAGTCTATGTTAAGGTATGGGATTTTCGGTCACCTTAGTGCTAAGATAGCTTTCTACAACAGCACCTAGGGCATATGGGCCTAAGAAGAGACACAGGGGGATTTACTAAGGCTCCATATACCTGAACGAATGGGCCTTGTTAGAGACAGGGAAGACTGGGCTCTGTATTTCGGGGCATATGAGCCTCAGCAGAGACACAAGGGAATACCAGGTTTGGTATAGCGGGATGTTTGGGGCTTAGTATATGTAGAGTGCAACTGTGTATACCCTGGAATACCCAGATGCTGACTGACCCCATAATGATCGGTACACTTGACTGTAAGCTGTGAGATGGTTGGAATATTGCTGACTACTGTAATAAACAGCATTCACTGCAATGTTTGAAAGAAAGCATGAAATGTTGTCCTGATTGTTGTCCTGATGCTAGCAACTCAAGAACTAATATATGTCCTTGGACTAGAAAGAGTCTAATACTCTACCACTTTCTTTAATTTACTTGTACATCTAGACTAACGCTTAGTCTCTTAATATATATAATTTTCATAGTAACAAACCCATTTGAATTGAAAAGAAGCCCCAGGGAGATCAGAGATTCAGAACCTGGGTCCCGATCCACAAAGCGTTCATAACGTTACAATTAGGAGATAAACATCATGTGTTGGCCAATTGTTATTGAGTATTTGAAGTACGGGAATTCATTTGGAACCGACGGCGTCAGCCGGAGGTTTCAAATGAAATATTCCGGAAACACCCAGAAATTGGCCAACACATGATGTTTATCGACATTGTAAACACAAAAGTAAACCAAAAGGTCCACACACGTTTTTCTGTCTGCACTCATTGACAACATCGAGTACGGGTACAGCAGTGAAATGTCATCAGCCGGCCGTTTCGGCTGTCTCCGATGGTGGCATTTGGAACTGCTCATTTGTGACGTCATTCGGACTTTACGTCACAATATGATTTTAATGATGTCATCACAGCTGACGACGTAACAATACAATGGTGTGAGTGATGTTTGTATGTATTAATACGCCGAGAATCGAATACCATTTGATCACGTTTTTCAACCAATCAGATGAAAGAACACAGTGACTTTTGGTTTACAATATGTCGTAACTCTATAGTTTACTATAGGCTTACGAATGTCGTAGCGCTACAAACTCTTTGTGGATCGGGACCCTGAACCTGAGGAAATCTAGACTTGCTTCATTTAGGACTTACCGGTAAGCCTTGAAGAGAGGGTTAGGCAGTAGGGAGACAGACTATCGTACAGCACACATTGTATGGTGTCATAACCATGATAAAACATTAACACAGATGCCTAGGAGACTGTTTCTGCTGAATGCAGGGATGAGAATTTCCCGCGGAATTGATCGCTCTGAGGTCATTAGATCTGGCATGGGGACCTATGGCCCTCAACACTCCCGGCTTAGTTTCCTCTTTTTTTCACTCATACCCATTCTCATCCCTGCGAATGCACATCAAACTGATTTTTTTAATGTGTTTTGTAATTTTTCCAGGAAAAGAAATTTTTGTCGGCGTTGGCAAAAGAACAAATGAAGCTGGAGCAGGTGCAGTTGCACTTGCATTCATAGATTACGATGTCAGCCCCATCAACATCGGCGACACAGATGTCCTTCACCTTAAAGATGCTATCAACGTCATTGGACGTAACGAGCTGGTAGTTGCTGGGGGCGACGGTCCAAGAACTATCATGAAGGTATGTTTCGCCCACTCTGAAGTACACACAGTCAGGAGGTAGGTCCTGGTCAGCTGTTGTTGGGTTCAACCTGACACTGACAGCTGACACTTCAGTGCAGCTCCTGGAGGGAGAGGGGCGGTAGGGTAGTCTAGTGGTTAAACTGACTGACTGACTGGCTGTGTTTGGTTTTACGCCGCTTTTAGCAATATTCCAGCAACATCACGGCAGGGGACACCAGAAATGGGCTTCACACAATGTACCCATGTGGGGATTCGAACCCGGGTCCAAAGCTTTAACCACTAGGCTTCCCCAAATTTTAGGGGGTGAGGGGGTCATTCACATTGTACATGCTTCTCCATAAAAATCATCAAAACACCCCCCCCCCCCACACACACACACACACACACATAAATTATGAGCGTTCCCTTACTATCCAGTTACTTTTTTGCCTGAATCTAGAACATAGTTGATCATTGATTGATACACATAAGATCGTATATATTTTTCTCCCCAATAAACTGATATGGGGGCAAATATTTAACACCAGGAAATAAAGTTTACACTTCTGCTTGTATGATTCTGTGATATGCATGTCCCGTGTTGCAGCGTATGGATTGCTTGAAGACGTACAACTGCAAGATTCTGCAGATGCCGAGCCCACTCGGGGCAGACATGCTGTACATGAATGGCCGACTCATCCACAGAACCAACGAAGAACTCACCAAGGAGGGCTACGGGGTAAGTGGCATGCTTGTAGTCTGATTTTATGATGCTAACTATTTTCCCATTTGATCTTTTTGAGGCATTTTATTTGGGTAGTTATCTAAGAAATATCTATCCAACATTTCTGAAAATTTCTTGGCCATGACGTTGCCATAAACCAGTTGAAGCTGAATTTTACTAGACAATCATTACTTGAAATGATTTTTTCATATTAGCAGTTGGCTCAATAGGTTAACCTAGTGGTTAAGTGTTCAATCCACACCTAAAATCAATTCTTCATGGGTACTGTTACAGTGTATAAAGCCCATCCCATGCATCCTTCCTGATGATTTTGTTGGAAGATTACTATAAGTGGCATAAAATCATAGTCACTAACTTGTATCTCAGGTGTTGCTTGTGTTAATGGAAGAAGAGTGAGAATGATGGACTGTACACAGTGCTCGTCTAGTTTTTGAAATGTCCATATTACTTCTGTAACTGATAACCTTGGTTTTCACTTATGCAAGAGTTACCTGCCCTTATCATGTGACTGTCATGTGACTAACCTGTAGAAAGATGCTGACTACTAACTGCTGCCCATGTAAAATCATGTCATTTCACTGACGAGCATGTTTAGTTGAGGGAGAGAAGTACTGAACTGTCCTTGTTTTTGGTGTGTGGACCGACCTATCTTCTCCAATCCTACAAAATCCCTACACTTAACAGACAGACTGAGTCTGGGATTGGTTGCAGTTGATGTTACAAACTTAAACTCTGTTGTCTGTAGACTGCACCATCATTCCCATCATGCAGTCTAAGTAAACTTAGGCTCAGTATTATTTGTTACACTGCTATACTGAGTCTAACAAAACCTTGTAGAAGGTCGCGTCAGCTAACCTTTTGGACTGACCAATCAGAAGACAGCTTACCAAATCGCGAAAGTTAACATTCGCACATACCGTTTTACCTAAAACACTTGAACGATTCCGAATGCTATTTTCCGCATGATCGTTCCGAGTGATACACGCAATGAGTAAACAGTCGCTGAAAATAGCGTTTTTGTCAATGTTCAAGGATGTCATCTTGCGAAAATAAAAGCAAATAGTAACCATGTTATTAGAAACCCATAAGCGTATATACTGCAGGTCAAACATCTGTGTTTTTGCAGATTTTCGTTTGTTGATCAGTGTCAGCGACCAGGGAAGAGAAAATTCAAAAACCATTTTGTAAGTCCCGCCGAACCCTAACAAATAGTCGTTGTCTGATTGGTTAAATCCGTTCGGCCGTCTCGTGTTTGATTGGACGGTCATAGGTCGCTCAAAGGTTAGCTGACGCGACCTTCAACTAGGTTTTGTTAGACTCAGTATAGCAGTGTAACAAATAATACTGAGCCTAAGTTTACTTAGACTGCCCCAGCATGGATCTAGTTTTCATGCCATAAGATGATAATAGAGTGCAGAGTTATACTACGGCTATCTCCAGCATGTGATTATGGTGGAATGCAGAGGCAAAAGGTGTACCAAGGGCTTCTTCATGTCGTAGAGAGGTCATGCTTAAAACATTGGGGTTTCCAGCATATAATCATAGGTAAAGAGTAGTCATACTTATACCAACCCTGTGTTCAGCATGTGATCTGATGTTTGAAAGGTCATACTTACAACGTGGTTGTCTCCAGCACGTCATCCTGATGTTATAGAAAAGTTCAGCATGTGATCCTGGTGTTATAAATGGTCATACTTACAACGTGGTTGTCTCCAGCACGTCATCCTGTTGTTATAGAGAAGTCATACTTATACCAACCCTGTGTCCAGCATGTGATCCTGGTGTGATAAAAGGTCGTACTTACACAATGGTTGACTCCAGCACGTCATCCTGATGTTATAGAGAAGTCATACTTATTCCAACCCTGTGTCCAGCATGTGATCCTGGTGTGATAAAAGGTCGTACTTACACAATGGTTGACTCCAGCACGTCATCCTGATGTTATAGAGAAGTCATACTTATACCAACCCTGTGTTCAGCATGTGATCTTATGTTATAAAAGGTCGTACTTACAACATGGTTGTCTCCAGCACGTCATCCTGATGTTATAGAGAAGTCATACTTATACCAACCCTGTGTTCAGCATGTGATTCTGATGTTATCAAAAGTCGTACTTACAACATGGTTGTCTCCAGAACGTCATCCTGATGTTATAGAGAAGTCATACTTATCCCAACCCTGTGTCCAGCATCTGATCCTGGTGTGATAAAAGGTCGTACTTACAACATGGTTGTCTCCAGCATGTGATCCTGATGTTATAGAGAGGCTATGCTATATTCTACCTCACTGAATGCCAACACACAGAGATCATTCGAGATGTTACACAAAGATCATTCAAGATATTACAGAGTGCTCATGATGTTACAGAAGATCATTCGTGATGTTACACAAAGATCATTCATGATGTTACAGAGATCATTCGTGATGTTACACAAAGATCATTCGTGATGTTACACAAAGATAATTTATGATGTTACACAGATCATTCATGATATTACACAGAGATCATTCATGATGTTACGCAGAGATCATTCATGATGTTACACAGAGATCATGATGACAAAGACAATGCTTCATTGCCAGATGATGCTCAAAGAATATGGATTGTTGCCTGTTTGTAACACATACCTTGAAATGATGTACAGTGGAAACTGCCTAAGTAAAGACCGCTTAACTAAACTGACCGGATAAGTAAACACTATTCTTTGGTCTCGGCAAATTTCTTAATTAATTATCACTATTAGATTTCGGTTAACTAAACTTGGACAAGTTAACAATACAGCTTAACTAAACATCTTCTCACGTTACTTTGAAGTAAATTACTTACCAAAGGAGACCGGATAACTAAATTAGTGATTACCACATAATCCGACATGAGGGGCACGTGTCAGTCTTCGGCTAAACAAACATCCTACGTACAGCTCGCTGGCGTTATGCAGTTGACAATACACTGACAACTGGAGGCCAGCCCTGATAAGTTGTTCATTGTTACATATGTATACATATACATGGATAAGGTTGTCATTTGCAGGTTTTTATAAGTTTGGATAAGTAAAATACCTGATAAGTAAACAAGTTTGGCGAGTCCCTTGAAATTTTACTTACCAGGTTTCCACTGTATTATGTTAATTAAAGATCTTTCTACTAGAGAACCCACAAGTATATAGGATAAGCTTCTGGAGCTGAGAAGGGGATGAGCTGATGGTGGCCAGGGGTGGTGGGGTAGCCTAGTGGTTAAGGCGTTCAGCCATCAAACTTAAGACCCACGTTCCATTCCCCACATGGGTACACTGTGTGAAGTCCATTCTGGTGTCCCCTGCTGTGATATTGCTGGAATATTGCTAAAAGCAGCATAAAACCATACTCACTCACCCCCATGGAGGCTATGGTTGTTGCGCAATGGAGACCAGGATTTATGTACACAGACATTGCATGGTGTTATTTCACTCTGACAGACATGGACAGCCATGCATGATGCTGTGTTATGCATGAAGTTCAAATATGCATGATAGTACATAACTGCCATGCATTGAATGTTCTGACGTGAGGCATGATGGTAGAGTCGGCTTTACCGAAGTTCTGTATTGCTGTGTGCCCAAGACTGATGTAGCCAGCCATAGGATGTGAATAACAGACTTGTTCAAGTTGTTCAAGACTAATATCAATATTCATATACATGATGAACTGATGAGTGTCCTGCAGTAAGGAATGTGGAGATGTGCAGAATGTTTGCATGATGGAAACCATAACCGGCCTTGACCTGTGATGACCTGTTGCCTTGACCTTTGAGAATATGGTGTCCTTGACCTTTGAAAGGTCAACTGCTTCTAGGACCCTGTTGCCTCCTTGTTGCATGGATTGTTGGACCTTGGCAGCCTAACAACCAAGGGAGGTAACTGTGAACTCTTGTCGCCAGGAGCTGCAGAAGGTGCAAGGAGTTGAAAAGCATGAGGTCGCATTGACCCAGCTGAAGGGATGCAGTTTACGCCGGATGCCACTGCTGATCCTGAAGCTGAAGTACCAGAAACACATCATCTCCACTCTGCCTTGATAGGATGACAGCATCACCATGACAACACAGACACACGGACAGACTTGGTTGGTACTCTGTGCACGAGGACCCCTACACTGTATATGTTGACTCCCACCACTGTTCTTGGTGTATTTTGACAGTGAAATGTTCTTGTGTTCGATGATGGTTAGATAAAGGTTACAATGGCCTCCCTGTGAGTTCAACCAGGATACCGTTTTGATCAGGTTGGCCATGCTCGTGTCCGGATCCATTTTCTGTTTTGTGTTATAAATATGCTACCTTGTGTAATGTTTTAGTGGGAGAGATTAGGGATGTACTCTTGTACTCTGGCATTACTGATACACTTTGTGTGATATTTTAGTGGGAAACATAAAGGATGTTATCTGTCATGGTGGGTTCTTTGAAATGTGGATTTTCAATTTCGACTATCGTGAAGTTATTAGGGGTGGGTATTGCAGAGAATTTTCATATTGCGATATATTGCGATGCGAAAGCATGTATTGCGATATGTATTGCAATATATTGCATGAAGTATTTTTAAACAAAAAACTACTTATGATAGAGTTAATGCTTGATTTATAGAGCAAAAACACAACAAAATCACTATGCTTGATTAAGCTTTAATAACGACTTTTAATCATGATAAAATAGAAATGTGAATAATATTTGGCACAAATGAAACAAGGAAATATCTGAAGATTTCCGAGTGTTACGAAAGTTTTCGAATGCAAGTCAAAATACCGGTTTTCGATCAGAGTATCGCAATACGTATCGTTTTCATGTCTGAACCGGTAAACCGGTTATATTGCGCAGCCCTATCTGAAATGTATCCGCTATGAGGCAAATGGGACTAATGTAATGACTATTAGGTAAAGAATACTGCCATATAGCTGGAATATTGCTGAGTGCAGCGTGAAACAACAAACAAACAAAACAAAAGGTAACCAGGGCTCGATTTAAGAGATGTTAACCTACTTGCACCAGGTGCAACCTAAGATACACACCAGCCAAATTCCAGTTGCAACGTAGTGTGTTGAAACATCAGAGGTTTTGGTGCACATAAACATATTTCCGTGATGTGGTACCCATGAAACCATAGCAACACAGAGACACAGCTGATCCCTGCTTACAAGAGCTGTCAAGCCAAGACGTGTATAAATAGCAATGTTTTGGTGCCATAGCTATTCAAAGTTTAGAAAAAATATGAGATAATATATTTATGCTTATAATGGTAGATTTATTGTTGATTTATTTCTCAAAAATTGACTTGCACATGGTGTAAGTTAGACTACCGGTAATAACTAGGTGGCACTTTGTAAATTGGGTTGCACCAGTGAAACTAGCAAAGCACTAAATCGTGCCCTGGTAACAAATATGAATATCTTATCTGGCACTAAAACTGACACCACAATACGACTGGAACACTGTTTACAGGCGTGTAGCAAGCCAATTCTTTTCGTGTAGTGTAAGCCTGGTAGGTTGCAAAGCTTTATATTTAGATAGTGTTGAGGGCTTGTCCAACCTATTTAACATTTTTTTTTTTTTCATAATGGTAGCTTCACCCCTGGTTTAGTTGAATTTAACTATTATGAGGCTGTGAGTGTGTGACATGAATGGTTTATGGTGTTTTGGAATCATACATGATGCAAATTTTGAGTATGGTGTCACAACTTTAGTTCATGCACAATTCAAAAGCCAGCAACCCAAACACAGCACAGAGTACACTGCCTTTGGCCGTGTTTATATTCAAGGCAAATTGTATAGAAGGCCTGTACAATTTCTCAAGGACAAGTTACGAAATACTTATTGTCAGCTTGAAAAGATTAGAAGCCAGTGGTTAGGTGGCCATGTTAATGCCACTGTCACATAAAGCCAGTCATGTTGTTGATAAAAGGAATGAGTATTCTCAGGAATGAAGTGTTTCCTAGCCCGGAAATGGTCCAATATAAGGACAAGTTTTTTTATGGATAACAACTTCTTTATTTCGTGAGTGCGACTTTTTGATACAGATTCTTGTACCGTTGTCAAGCAGGAGTGATACATGAAGTGGAGGAGATGTATATATATACTGAATGTAACAATGAGACAACATGATTGACAAAGAAAACAACATAATTGCAAAAATTGGTTTAGCAGTAAGCTGATGAAGCCATTGAGTACACAAAGGGTAGGGCGTGGAAGCCAGAGATGTACAAATAAAGGGGTAGTTGGAACAGTGAAACAAATGCATGTGCGGTTCGTGATGAACGTTAACTTAGACCAACCCTACTTGATCTCGGTGTTTCATTTTATGTGCATACCCCTTGTAATACAAACCAATAATACCGATTTGAAACTATAATTGTTTGTTAAACAACTTTCATCCCAAGTTGAATAAAATTCTGAGATTGAAATTTTCAAATGGCAAGGTAAAATTATGAGGATTCGCAATCTTAATTTCACTTTATTTGATTTACTTTTTTGTTTAAAATGAAACTCATCGTTACGTTTTCACCGCAAACAGACTATAGTGAGATCAGGGGATTGCCTGCAGTGAGTGCTTAGGCACAGTGAACATTCTGGCACTTTAATCCCTTTTCACTCACTATTCTTCGTTTTGAATGTAGCTCATGTTATAATAACCAAAATGTTGCTTAAGATACGAATAGCCATGATACCAGTAGTGCTAGTGGGGAAAAATATGTTTCGCTTGTAAAGTTGTTGGTCTGACATGTTGTCTGTTTTGTCCACAGCTGCTGGATGAGAAGCTGCAGTGCACACGCCACCAACTGCACCTGGGGGAACTGACCAAGGCGTACGGAACCATCAGCAGCTTGTGTATACTACTCCGTATCAACCGGCGCCAGCAGAAGGTTCTGTCCAACGTCACAGATCCTGACCTCACACAGTTCCTCAGCATTGGCCAGCAGAAGTCCTGAATTGACAACCACACTACGCCTACCCTCTCCAATATTCTCTATCTTGCTGATAATGCTGTCTCTCCTTCTTAGGTCGGATATATGATTAGTATTAACATCAGGAAGTTCTACGTTAACTATTATCATCAGTGATTTGTACCAATAAGGATGCAAAATTAGATTCAATCCAATTCCAATGTAAATATGGGATGTTTGTACATTATGAACTTAGGACGGAGGGTTGAGTAGGACCTTCGCTATTCTGCAACTATGAAACGGAAGCTGTTACTTGGAAGCCAATGTTGTTGCCATGGTTACAAAGTCTGGTCTCTGCTACAAAAAATATTTTACCATGATGAGGCTGGTGCTATTGTTTGTGGGGCAGACATTTCACGATCTGGACAGTGAAGTAAATCTGAAATGACGTACTGATCTCCCAGTGGCATGCTAAATAGGATAAATTACTTTGAGGAAAATAATGTTTTGGGTAATATTTTCTGTAGGATATATAGGTTGTGCCATGTTCTGCTGTGTAGAACACAGTGATGTTATTGGCCAGATGACCAGGAAAACAGATGTATTCACATATACGAGAAGCTGTATACAGGATTAATCCCATGTAATATGTTCCTTTATGTACCAGCTGCCTGTACAAGCCCTGGTCGGAGCAGTTGTCTCCTATCTCCTGTGGCCTATCTGGATGTGCCAAACCTATTTACTTTAGATGAACAAATCAAGCAATTTTTTATCTTTTGAAATATTTTTGCTGAAATTCTTTTCATTTTGATAAACTAGTTTGAAATATGAATTGTTACAGGAAGTCAGTGTACATATGAGATGAAACAATTGAAATATGTAGAGTTTTGTACTTGTCTGCACATGGTTCGTGTTTGTTGTGGGCGGTCGGGAAGCCTTGTGGTTAAAGCATTCGCTCGTCACGATGAAGACCCGGGTTCGATTCCCCACATGGGTACAATGTGTGAAGCCATTTCTGGTGCCCCCTGCCACCATATTGCTGGAATATTGCTAAAAGTGGCCTAAAAATAAACTCACTCACTCACTCACTGTTTGTTGTAGCTATCAGGGGAGATGAGGATGAATGTATGGTTACCAGTTGATTCTTACATGAATTTAGTGGTAACACAAACAGATAGTAATAGATTCAACCATACAGGAAGGTGGAAGGCCATGCTCCACCTTGGACCATTCATTAATGCATATATTAAAAGAGCAAGGTCATGTGACAAGAATTATGTCAGTCCTGCAAGATCGTAGAATGGGTATAGAGGACATACCAGCTTGTGTCAATGTCAATTGTACAATGAAACATTACATGCAATTTTCCATCTGTTGTACCCCCACGGTATGTCATTACTTGCTGTTGTTATGGCATTACTTGGCCATACCATTATTCATCTGGCGCCGCTGCCGTTTCTCTTGCAGGAACTCACCAATAGAGTGCTGTCATGGTGATGTGTTACCATGGTGATTCTGTATCAATGTGGAGTTTACAGAGCATCTATAGATTGTTTCATTATATTGTTATATTGTTAGCTCACCTGACTTGTTCCATGATCTGTTGTCTTTTATTTAATTGTTAACCTTGCCTCTGTTCACCCAGCAGAAGTGGGTACCCGGCGGGATGTGACATGTGACTATTAACTTTCTAGCGCCTCACAGGCATCTTGGGTTATCCGGGGTAATAATAATCTGATTGTACGCTTTGAGCAGGATATGAAGCCTGGAACCCGTGTTATAAATACTCAGCATTATTATTATTATTAACCAACCCAGCTGCCTGTGTTAAATTGTTGATGCAGGTCCACTTTTATGAAGCCACTTTCTGGTGACCCTCATCATGATGCTGCTGGAATATTGCAAGAATAAGCGGCATAAAACCATACTCACTCACTAACTATGACCATATAACAGTGCTGAAGATACTGTCTTGTCCATTGACTAATTGAGTGTTTGGATTCTCCAGTTGCTGAAACATGCTAACATTTCGTGTGATTAGGTCAGGTGAGCTACGGAGCTTTCAGCTCTATGTTTACATTGTTAATTGTTACTCGCAGATAGAAGACATATTTTTTATAGTTTTGTAAACAACTTCGCAGTAAATGTTGACACGTTTCATGCTGTGCGGAACATCGTCAACGACAAGGTGGTCATTGGGGTGACAGCCATGAGACAACCATTGTTTATCTTTGATTCTTTGTGGCAAATAAACCAGATAGTTCAGGATCTCCTCCATCATGTCAATAGAATTGTTTCTTGTGTATGAGAGCTCCCGAGGCATTTGTAAAGAAACTCTGTCATAAAACTCTCTTGATTAAAACTTTTGGGTTCTTGAGGTCATTTCTGATTTGTTATTCGTCTTTATTGTTGGGATGTAAAAGATTATTGATACACTGTGAATGTCTGTGTCTCTGTAAACTGGTGTTGTAAAGTGTGGCCCTAGAGGTCCTTAAGAAGAGATCCTACAGTTGAGATCCTACAGTTGAGTTGAGATCCTACAGTTGAGAACCTTCAGTAGAGATAATACATTTGAGATCCTACAGTTGAGATCCTTCAGTAGAGATCCTACTGTTGAGATCCTGTACTCTGGACCATGTAGAAGAGATCCTGTAGCAGAGATACCAAACTCTGACAGGTCCCCAGCATTGATCCAATCAAGGTGTCTATATTCGTCCTTTATTTATCATTAGCTTGTTCCCATTCTGTCCTGGGTGACATCGGAGGTCAGTGTTTTGCTTGCATATCATTAGCCTATATCGTTTTGCTTTGCTGTTTTGTAGGATTTTAGCTCATCTTTGAATGTTTATGTGACCGTCTGCAACCCCATTGTAAGGTGTGAGGCAGGTTTTCTCTCCTTCAGCGCCTTGATCATCGAACATCAGCAATAACTGTGTATGTTACGTCTTGTATAATTGCATTGTCTTTGATGCATGAGAAATGAACAAAAGACATGTTTTCTTTCTTTGGTATCAGCCCTGGACATCAGCAAAAGATATTGTATGTATCAGATAGGATGTGTGTATTCTCACTGTGGCTGTGTTCAGGACACAGGTCTTCACATATTGTGGCTGTGTTCAGAACACAGGTCATCTCATCTTGTGGCTGTGTTCAGAACTCAGGTCATCTCATCTTGTGGCTGTGTTCAGGACACAGGTCAGCACATATTGTGGCTGTGTTCAGGGCACAAGTCCATTCCCTGAGTGACAGGTCATCTCATCTTGAGGCTGTTTTCGGGACACAGGTCATCTCATCTTGTGACTGTGTTCTGGACATCTCAAAATCACCTGACACAGCACCTGGAGGACACAGTCGTAATGATGCTGTCACCTGTATGTGTTGGTAGGGATTATTAGGATGGGAAAGGCTTGTTTTCCCCCAACAGAATTTGACGACTGGCTTCTATGCAGATTATTCAAGAAGATTTATGCTGGCATTTACACAGCTCCTGAAAAGAGATTCTTGTCACTATGGTGACTGACGACAGTTAAATATGGCGTTCTGTACGTGCGGGCCATTGTCCAGTCACGTGCTTCCTGTTCTTCAGGGTGAGATCTTGCACTTTTCTTCAGGGTTCATCCAATGAGGAGAGAGTTGAAAGAGGTGGATGACATGGATCCCTTCAACAAACCTATCGTACGCTGTGGTCGTAACTCCCATACTATAACACAGACTTACTAATCCTCTTACGCTACGATCGCTTTGAGGAAGGGGATGGGAACTTCAGTGTTGGATATATGCAAGCTTCTTACTCTGTTCAATGACTTAACACGTAATCCTGTATGATTTTATATGTAGAATTAGTTGACATACCGGGATATACACTTGTATCAACCTTGTACTTTGACATGCCAGTTATACATGTTATACCATGCCCAATCTTAATCGTTGCTGTAACAGACAGGATTGTTCCTTGTTCGCTATATATGGGTGTACAGCTGTTGCTATGATACACATGATGCGGGGCAGTGTGGGAGATATTTGGTCCAAACATCTGGACACTGTCTTTTGCACACTGCCCACTGTATTTTTTGGTTTTTGTTTTAGAAAGGTCACGCAATCTTGCTTGCCACTATTTTCTTTCACTCTAAATTCATTCTTTGTATTGCTTGTCATTTTAAAGATATTTAGTCTTTAATAAAACATAGTTGAACAGTTGGTAATTGCGTTTGTTGTTTCCGTATTGATGTTGGAAGCTCTGCCGGTGGGTTTGGGGTTTCAGGACGGTGAACTGACTGAGCTGGTCCTAGGCTTGACGTCAACGTAGGTTTAACGTTTTGTGTCAGGTTCGTCTTTCCTACCTGATTGGTTTGTTGTTTAATGCCACACTCCGCAATATTCTATCTGTATGGTCTGTAAATTATTGAGTCTGGACCAGACAATTCAGTGATCAACATCATGAGCATCGATCTACGCATTTGGGATTCAAAGACGTGTCAACAAAGAAGCGAGTCTGACCACCCGATCCCGTCGCCTCTTACGACAAACATGGATTGTTGAAGACCAATTCCAACCCGGAGTTTTTCAGATTGAGATAAAACATCTATGTAACTATGTAACAGCACACTACTCACTCTTGACTCATACAGAAATGGCCACCAACAACCTATACGCTTGTGCTAAGATACAATTAAATGTTCAGGTAGTCGATCACAGGCGGAGACATGGATGATTGCTTGTCTCCTAGATGGATGGTTGTCAAGCACTGGATTGTCTCGCACAAGAACTATTATTTACAGGACACGCTCATGCATCTGGAATGTTCCAGAATGTAAGGCTCACTCACTCACTCTGCCAGGTGTGGCTATCAGTATCACAAGGTGACCGCCTCCTTGGTGTAGTGGTTAGAGTGTCCGCCCGGAGAGCGGAATGCCGCGGGTTCGATCCCCGGCCGCGTCATACCAGAAGACGTCAAAATATGGTACTTGTTGGTACTTGTCCCTGCCTGGCGCTCGGCATTTATGGGTACAACAAGGACTGGTCGGCTCGGAGTCAGTATAATGTGTCTGAGTGGGGTATTCATGCTTCACTGCGGCATGGTATCTCAGTGAGCTAGCACTATAAAACTAGCTTAAGTCTGGGCTAGTACAAGCAGCCACACACACGCATGCGCGACGCCATATGAGCGAAATATTCATATGACGTACCGCAGAGCTACAGATAACTTTTGGGGTCATTGAGTTATGTACTCGCTTGTGTTCATCTCAATTGGGTATCCTAATTTTCCTTTGAGTAACCAAATAAATTGTACTCACCTCACTAAAACTCAATTGGGTATTTTGCCATTTTCAATTAATTTTAAAAATATTATAAAGTTTAAATGTTAGTGTTTGATATTTATATTTTATCTGTATTATGAGAAACTGCAAGTTGTCAAGTTCATTTCCTGAAATAAAACCCTCAGTATACCTCAGTTATTTTATCTACCCCCAGGTACGCAAGCTAAGATTTGACATTTTTGCGTGTATGCATGTAAGATCACATTTATAGAGTATTTACTAAAATTGAAGCGTACTTGTACGCAATAGACTTAAAAGGAATTGAGTTTTCACATAAATATTTGCGTAATTTACGCAGATACGCAGCTTATCTGTACCTCTGGGTACCTGATCAGTGTCACAAGGTTAGTGTGGGAGACTGCATTCATTTCATCCAGTTTTCGGTTGACATTTGACTACATACAAACAATAGTAACATGATAAGAAGAATGCTTACACTATCAACCATTATGTTTTTAGGTATTTACTAATGGGTTCAAGTCCCAAATTCGGAATATGTATATTGTAGACCTACAACTGACAAGTACAGAAACGGTGGATGAGAATGTTTGTATGTTACCAATCCTCACCTCACAGAGAGAATTGAGAATGTTTGCATCTTTTGAATTATTAGCAGACAAATACCGTATTTCCTCAAATAAGCGCCGGATTCTAATAAGTGCCGGGGGTAAAGCGGCGGTTTAAGAAATAAGGGCCAGGTACGTTTTTCATAAATGTATTCTCCCTTGATCCAAAAATAGATTTATTATCCTTTGATCCAAAAATAGATTTATTAAGGAATGGTCCCTAACTTTGACATAGCGCTCACTAACAGTAAATTACGGTACTCCCAGTGAGCCCAATGAACGCCGGGCCTGTATTAAATCTGTTGAAAAAAAATAAGCGCCAGCGCTTATAAGAGGATATACGGTATATGGACACGGATATACACAATGCCATTTGCTGAGAAAGTGTAATCCCAAATATAACATGTGTCAAGTATGTGGCCATGGACATCTGTTTCTGCCCGGTGCCAATGTCGTCTGTGATTTGTAACTAGGTCTCCTGGAACAACCTTCCGTGTACAGCATTCACTGTCATGTTTATCAACTTGGTCAGTAAAGTGACCCGGTACGCTCCTTAAACATAAACACCGCTCAGGAAAATGAAAGTATAAAAAAGTCCAATGACTAAACACTTTATATGAAGTTGGTCATCTGAAGACGGCACATGAAAATGAAAGTATATACAAATTCTAATGAATACACATTGTGATGGAAGTTGTTCCTCTAGAGACGACACAGGAAAACGAAAGTATAAAAAAGGGGGTGTGGGTGGGGGTGGGCATGCGGTTTATCATCCCCGGACATTTTGTAGACAGAAGACCACGATTTCATTAAAACATCCAGATTAGTGAGTGAGTTTAGTTTTACGCCGCACTCACCTGTCTGTAAATAATCGAGTCAATCCAGTGATCAACAGCATGAGCATCGATCTGCGCAATTGGGAACCGATGACATGTGTCAACCAAGTCAGCGAGCCTGACCACCCAAACCCGTTAGTCGCCTCTTACGACAAGTATGATTACTGAAGATCAATTCTAACCCGTGTCTTCACGGGTCACATCCAAGCAAAATGTGCAGATATATGCACTAGCGACTCCGAAAACAGTATACAGGTAACCAGACAGCGGTATCCAGGCAACAGGCCAACAAGTGGGATCCCGGTCATGACAATCTTGCGCTAGCGGAGTGTATGAGCAAGTCATTGAGCATCCATTGGTTTAATACATCAGACTGACTGACTGACTGAGTTTGGTTTTACGCCGCTTTTAGCAATATTCCAGCAATATCACGGCGGGGGACACCAGAAATGGGCTTCACTCATTGTACCCATGTGGGGATTCGAACCCGGGTCTTCGGCGTGACGAGCCAACGCTTTAACCACTAGACTACCCCACCGCCCTTTTAATACATCAGATGCTGACTCAGTTTTCAAAATGACTTTAATTACGGTCACATTTGAAGAGACACTATTGCAAAGCCTTTCGATGTGTTAACAGAAAGTATTTTCTGACGTTATACTTTGGTAATAGCAAAACGGACTTCGGTAATTGTAAAAACCGGACGATCTCGGCACACACACGCACGCACGCACGCACACACAAAGCAAAAAAACAACACACGCACACACACGCCCAAATCGCCATAGGTAATCATAGACTATCATCTATTGAACATATTTTACAGAAAAATGGTTCCTAAATTAAAATCATGAAATATAATGAAAAGTAGCCCAGAGACCTTCAATTTCAGAAACTGTTGTTTCGAGATTTGCCACATATTCAAGACTTGAATGGGCTTTCGTGGATATATTTGTCTCAGGGTCTGTAACACAGGCTAAGTATAACAATATCCTCGGATTTGAGAGAACGACTTACAGTGTTCAAGGTTGAATACTACAAGCTGGGCATCCGTACATGGGAATACCATGATCTAAGTCAGCGATATGCGCTGTTATAAGTCCCAATAAATCTGCTGTCTGTGAACTATTATACGTCCGATCGGGTTTCACAGATTATGATGTAAACACTCTGACTGGAATGTGTTATACTTTCACAATGGGAAATACGTTCACAATGGGAAATACGTTCACAAAGGGAAATATGGGAAGTTGTACCCCGATGGACGTTGTATTTCCCGATCTTCGATTATCGCCTACCTGCCATGTCGGTTATCTGTCATAACATGGTCAAAAGGCGTGGTCAAGGAGCGTGGTTGGACACTGTGTTACATAATGACCATGAACGTCACATCATCCACCCACGTTGTCCAACAGTGTTACGTAGATTAATCGGCGGGAGTTTCAAGTCAGCCTGTTGTCGGTGCCGTTTTGAACACTTTGTTCCCCGTAGGAGACGTTTCGTGATGACGTCTATCTCCTCTGCTGACTTCTTCTTCGTTACTGTCGTCGTCTGGTTTGAGTCGAGCTTCTCTCTGCAACGTCTGCGTCCGGAGTTAGACTGGCACGTGATACTTTTCTGAAGTCTCGTGACGATGTCGTCGACGGAACTCTGTTCCACCTCTCTGAATGCTGGCGCTTTTGGGATGCCGATGTTCATCTCGGGGTAGAAGTCGTAGAAGCGACGAGGGTAGCGTTTCCAATTGGGGGTAGGGAGGTGCACCCGGGGCACGTGCACGTAGCGGTGGTGGTGAACAGGCCTTTTTCCGGTGTAGGAATACATGTAACGAATGTTGTTTTCCAACGCGTCCTGGAACGAGGTGCTAAACGCTGCCATTTTGTAACAAATGTGTCACAGCACAACCGGAGCAGACACTCTTGTCGACTTGTATCGACTTATTTGCACTTGGCAGTTTAAAAGTCAACAATCCAAACGTCTTTTACCAAGTTGTACCCTCGTTGGCCCAGTAAGACAGTCTGTCGGAGAGCTTATCGTGGGTTGCCAGGAGCCGGACACGTAGCGCTGAGCGAGAGTAAATACCAGAGGGAAAGGATATATGTTAAATGTGAGATGTATGTTAAAGGTGAGATATGTGTTAGAGGGAGGTATGTGTATGGAGTATTAGTGAGTGAGTTTGACAGTACTTCAAAGACGAGGACCTATGAGCTTGGTTTGAGATGAAATCCCGGAGTAATGAATATTTTGCTAACTTATTACCCACGTGGTCAACGTATGGGTAGTTGCGTACTAATCTCGTACGTCACACGAGTGTCGTATCGCGTTGACCTGTGTCGTAACGACTTGACATGAGATTCTAACGATTTGATTGGATAACCGATGACCTCTCAATTAGGTCACATTCTTACGTAACTATTTTTTCATTCATAACAAACACGTGAATTCATTCATTCTGTCTTAAATGCATTGTGGGAATGTAA